ATAGACTTTGTGGTACTTGGCTATGATGTGCCAAAAGACATCTTTGCTGTGTCTGCTGAGACAAGCAAGAACTGTGGAAAGGCTAAGAGGAASAGAAAGCATTAATATTTTAGAAAACAACATAAATTACACTAAAATCCTKACATAGCTGAGCAAGGAGCAAACAGCAGAAAACAAACAGTATTGTTCAGCTTCTCTATACTCAGTGGGCTAAGAAAGCTTGCTTTTTTTCATTTTTTGCTGGGAGGATGCAAAGAACAGACACTGATTCAGGTTGGCACTTCTCTTCTTTTCATTTATAATGGGCATACAGTTCTTGTAATGGCCAGGCCTACAAAGAGATCATTAACGAGAGCAGAAGCAGCAGCAAAACTTAAAATTCACAAGGGTGTCTCCGCTTACAGAACTGCAGCAAAAGCAGCTGTGTTCAACAACTTTGCCCAGCCAGCAACAAATCTTCTGTCAAATCATGGTCCCAAGACGTGGCTTCCTATTCRGTGTGACTTAACCCTACCCCACACACATCAGAATGCTTTTGTCAGAACATGTGTCGAGCTGCCTCTCCGAGGCTGTCACTCACGGAACACCTTGGGCTGCGTGTTCCCATATCTGCATCCGTCCTTTAAAGAAAGGAAAACTATTCAAAGAGATTTCATTCAATATAGATTTTTCTGACTTTCCCCCCATCCCCAAAGAAGCAGGTGAGCTGCTTCATTAATGAGGGCAGAACCCAGCTACACATTTAGACAGGTAAATTCATGTACTTAAATGTGGGGTGAGACARTAAGGAGCGTGTTGCCCATGCAGCAATAGTATCGTTGGAGACTCTCTGGGCCATCTGGGATGAGTATGACACAGGACACCACCTCCCCTCTAGACCAGAGGCTGGACTAAAGCTGCTTGAGCATTTTTAAAAGCCCCGATGTTAAGGTGCCCCAAARGAGTCCAAAATCCTGTCAGTGGCAGTTTTCCAATGCCTGAACACACTTATCTTCTGCTATGTGAGATATTCGAAGTAGTCAAGATACCTTCATGGAACTGGGAAATTWAGACCCTGGACCTGTGGGATAATCAAAACCTACAGGAGTGGCAGCATGACACCAAGCAGCCTACACCCTCATGGCTAAAGTGGCATTCAAGACTCAATTCAGCTGCACAAAGACAGACACACACTTTAGATGCCCCAGATGTCCAGAACCTCCCCCTCAAGCCTGCAGGTATGATACAGAAAGCCTCACCTTTCAGAGCTGGTGACAAGAAGAGGAGGAATAACTGAGAGCATTCAAATGGCACCAGCTGTCTATGTTTATGCAAGAAAATCCCAGCAGATGAAATATAATGAACGAGTCATTTGGCCAAAGGCACATGGGACTCTAACAGCTGTCCCCGCTCCGCTGATGAATAAACTCCTGACTAACTGTGACTGGATCTGGTGGTGAMTAGATCTGGTGAGAGTGGGACTCTGCTTAAATGCTGACACTTGCATTTGAAAACACAAGATTTGGTATGTGTGTAAACCTAAAAATGAATTTTCGGCCTCTTTAGTTCTTTAGTTCTTATGTCYTAAATACCAGGGGAATTTAAGTATCCAACTAAATGTTAGGGAGCAGTAATGCCATGGATTTCTTGTGACCTACATCAAGTATGAGGTACACTTGCCAGGGATGCTTTGGGGACCATCCCATGCTGGGCAGGTATAGAAGCCTGTGTAACAGTTTGATAAAATCACTTTCTATAACTGAATGGGTTGGCTCACTTAAAGTTAGATGGTCGTGAGAAGGGCATCAGATGCATACTGGTCACGGTGCAAAATACAAACCTTCATGATATGCACAGACCAGAGCACTCTCTAATTGCTTTAAGTCAGTGCATTCTTCTTTTATTATTGATGATAAGACAAAATTAAACCAAACAGAAATCAATCAAGAAAGCCTGTAAGCTGCCCTTCAGAGCTATCCATAGGTTCTCACAGACAGCTTGCAATAAAGAGCAGCTAATGCTTCATAAACAAGGAAAGCAAGCTACATGGATGTTTAGCAATTTCAGATCACTTCTAGCTACTAACAGATATGGTCTCTGTCATGGAAAGGATACCAGGCAACACAGTCATCCTCTCTGAGCCAGTAGCTCAGTTCTTACATTCTTGCTTTTTTTAATCAAGTGCACCTTGAAATCTCTGATTTACTACTAGGCTGAGTAATTTATCTACAGCAGTCCTTTCATTTGTAGAGACGTGTGACAGATGGAGATGCTGTTCCTTTGCAGTCCAGAGCATCCCTGCCTGCCAAGGTCTCCATCCTGCTGCCTCTAGGCAGCTCTGCAGAATTATTTCCTATTCTATCTTTAGTGATTCATAACACTATGGTCTGCAGTCTTCCATGCTAGGGGAGATGGCTCTGTGTTCTTACCATAGTAAGCCTGACCACAGGAATCTGGATGGGATCCCCACAGCAATGTTATTTCTCATCATGGTACTATGAAACAACGGGACATGCAGCTTGAGGCTGGGTACTTTTGGCAATCATGTTTTGTTCTTAGGATTCCGGATTATTCCGGAATATTCTCCTCCAGGATTATTCTCATCAAAGGCCCCTGCTGGCAAATGAGTCTCTTCTTGCAAAGTGAGGACCCATTATGCTGAGACTAAACCCTTCCTTGGTGCAGCAAAGCATCTGTCRTTCTGTGGACCTCCAGAAGCAATGCAGAGCTTATTTTCCCTTCACCATGACTTCAACAGAGAAAGTCCTTTCTTCTCCCTTACTTTCTCATTTATTTTTAAGATATATTTATTTTTCCAGACCATTATGAACAATGCTGTCATCAATGCCGAACTTCAATGCTGATAGGGAATTGCACATGCACGAGGGAGAGCGATGTGAAATAATCTCAAACTCTGGTACCAGGCATCATAAAAGCTTGTCATTAGCAGGCTAGACTGTGCTATCWCTACTTATTGTCTGAGCATGCACGCACACGAGGAGTCCCACAAACATCAGTAGGACAGCCTGGTATGCTAACTAATTACAAAATAGATCATATCCTCATAAAGAGCGTAAACAAAGGGTAGATCTCTGCCCCAAATCCCTTGCAGCCTAAATATGAGACAAAGATAGTAGGCAAAGACAGACAAGAGATAGCAGGGGAGCTGTGATACACTATTTTCTCAATGTACCATACCAGCACAGAGAAATAATGTCAACCCCTTTTCAGCCTGGCAGCTTTAAAATGCACAGATAATTTTTAACAGAGATTTGAAGCAGGAAAAAAAAAAAAAGGTAGCTTTGCAAATGCCTATTCGAAGAGCTTCCTGAGGACAAAGAGCAGCAGGGGACAAAGTGTGCATCTTTGACAAAGGGTAATGGAGATTTTTACCGTAGYGTGATTGGAGGATTGGGCTGCTTTTTGTAGGGGAAAGATACCTGTAAAAGCACACTTGCTGCCTGTGAGCAGCCTAAGACTGCATTACTCAAGGTCAGAGAGAGGAATGCTGCAGTAATCATGAAATTATTAGCTAAAAACCTGAAYAGAAGATTCAGATGTGTGGATGGGTAGGTAATGCCGTACCTTAAACGTTATTGCACGAAGTATATGAGACATGCAAGAACAGCCTGGTTTTAAGGAACAAGGAACAAATCAAAGAGAATACTGGAGCTTGGTAAAATTACAATGCGTTTTATGGGTCTGGATGTCATATAGGCTGGAGATGTTTCTTATGGTGGTCCAAAAAAGAGATGCAAGGAAGAATTGGAGAAGAAAATTGAGTGCTCTTTTAAACTTAGGAAAGCCATAATGCCTCAAGATGGGCTTCTAAACTCTCTCAGAACAACAAATATGCTATATACAACAAAGGACTTCATATTTTTTTAAGCAAAAAGAGATAAAAACAGTGGAATGCACTGTTAGATGCTTAATTTAGTGTGCAACAATTCATGTCAGCAGAGGGTATGAATATGCAGTGACTTACTGCCGGCTTGTGAACCTTCTCCATAGTTCACACAGTCATTGCTCTTGSTGGGGAGTATATGGAGAGTTAGGAGGTTTCAAAACTTAAATTCTTTCTGCTCCCCATGCAGCTGAGCTACTAAAAAATTCCTTTGGAGTCAGTAAAATTAAAAACTATATTTTTAAAACAGTTTCATTGGATCTGTTTMAGAACTGCACATTGAATTTCTTAGCATATCATTTACTGTACAGTGTTTTATTTCTGAAAATTACCACATCTCAAACTAATCATTCATTCTGCTGTATAGATACTTGCCTGAGATTATGAACGATGGCTTGACCAACCAGATCAACAATCCAGAAGTAGATGTGGACATCACAAGGCCAGACACTTTCATTCGACAACAAATCATGGCCTTACGTGTCATGACTAACAAACTGAAGAACGCGTATAATGGGAATGATGTCAACTTCCAGGACACAAGTAAGAAACCATTAACTGTCATTACATAACTGTAATTTTGGAACTCATTTATAAATTGGCTCTGTTACAATGACTTTCTGTGGTCTTTGTGCTCTGCGCTGCTGRCAACATAAAAAGTCTTTTTTCTGTTCCATGAAATTCCAGTTATATAATTGTTTCTTTTGCTTCTCTTCCTTATCTTCATGTTTAATGCATCAAGACACTGAGGGCTTTCCATAATGCCAACAGTCTGATCCTTTTTCAGAAGAGCATTTAATCACCTAATTTAGTCACAGTGGCCTTCATTTGGATGCTTTACTGAATGAAATTTAGCACCACCAGCACTTCCTCATTCCCAATGTGTTCATCCCCTCCAGGGTGTCAAGTGGAAGGGAGAAGAGGGATAAAAGCTGTAACGTATGGCACTCACGTTGTTTCCCTCACTCCTTTGTGCCAGGTGACGAAACCAGCGGCTCAGGCAGCGGGAGYGGCTGCACAGATGACATCTGTCCCACCGAGTTTGATTTCATCACCACAGAAGCACCGCCTGTCGACTCAGACAGGAGGGAGGTGGAGGCTTCAGCCACACAGCCTGGCTGCTCACTGCACACGTTGCTCGTCATCTTCCTCACTCTTGTACTGCAGAGACGGTGGAGATAATCCTGGATCTAGTTGGAGAAACTGTGTTTTAGCTACAGAAACAGCCAACTTTCCTCTTTTCTTATGCTCTTGGACAATGGACCATGCCACAAACACTTGCAGTTTTCTACAAGACAGCAGTACTGCAACCTGCTTCCCATTTTAGTTTTCCCAAAGAGTACCAGGTGCCAGACTGAACTGCTTCCTGCCTTTTTCAGATATCTCTGAAGACAATATCCACTCTTGAGAGAATTCTTTCTCAATTCTTTATTACAGGAGACTTTCTGAGCTTCATTTCCTTTTATGCTGCAAAAGGGAAAAAGGATCTTACAGTGTGTGTTTTTCCCCAGTGAGAAAAAAAAGGTGGGAAGAAACCTAGAAAGTTTTCTTTCTGAATCAGGCCTGACTCAAGGCTGCTGCATATCAACAGAATATCAACAAAACACAAAAAAAAAAATAAGAAGACAAGAAAGGAACAAAAGAAAATGCAACCATTCTTCACTGACAGCCAGGTTTCCTTTAGGAATTTCTGTAGAATGAATCAGGTCATCAGAATGATCACTGTTATAGGGAGGAAGGCTGGATTTTTTTTGTCTAGCACTAAAAGAGTATGTCTCAGCAGTGAATGTCYTGCACTCCATCTGCCAACCACATCAGATTGGTATGAAGGTAGAGAAGCTGAAAAATAAGTTTATCTTTTAGTATGGTAGTAGCTCCACTAGCTTCAGAATATCATGTTACAGTTGCTTAGGATTTAAATCTTAAWGCCCAGTAAAAATATGAGTAGTAGCATGGTTTCACCTAGTTTCTTTTAGGATTTATCCATGTTATACAATTGTCACAGTTTCCCACTTAGCTCACCACCGTGAGCTCACCAGCCATGATGGTAATGTTAAACAGTGCTCTTGACCCCTCAGGGGTTCAGACAGAAAATAATCTCTTGTGATGTAATCCTTTTCCTTTTGTTACTGTTCTGACATCGATTYGAACTTTCTGCTACTATGTCCATTACCCTACCAAGACAGCAATTCTCTAATAGACTAACAGCAACCAAATCAATAGTGTGTTTCACACCTAACTRCATCTTTCATATCAGTTAATTTCAGTGTCACAAGGATTTCTCCTACAAAATTTCAGATCAAACAAATATATAGTASTGACATGGAAATTTCTTTCACTTTTTTAGTCTTAGTATGATCATCTATTTTTATATATATAAATATATATAAATCACAGATTTTAACTTCTTAATTACAAGCTCAGGGTTGACACTTCTTTATAAGACAAAAATGTTTGGTCAACCAACTCTTCTTTTTTTTGCTGCTCTGAAAAGCAACCCTTTAATGACTGGTGAGCGTGAAAATCAAAGAAGAGAATTTTTTACATATCCAGTTGTCCATTTCTTAACAAGTTTGCAGGTTGATGGAGAAAACCTCTCTCATATGTATGTATTTGGAGGGGGYGGGGGGCATGTGAGTTTGTATGATAGGCCTAGAGAAGGATATGGATGTCCATTGTGATGGTAATTGTACTCTCAGATTCTTCAAGGATACATTGCTTTAATAATCATTGTCTGAATGGTTATGGTCTGGGATAGMGTTTTCCTAATTTGCATCTGGTCATAAAACCCAAGATGGAAGCTGTTTAAATCCTGGACAAATGTGTGTCAATAATTAAACATCAAAACCTTCTTCTGCCAACTACACAGAAACAATCTTTGGGGCAATTCTGCGTGGTGTTGAAACAATTTGCCAGAAATTTATTTCCTGATTCTTACCGTTCTTGACTCTGGAAATGGCATGCACAAATTGTGGTAACACTCTAAAGACAGCCAACCACATTACAATTTAACACCAGAGCAGGTAGATCGTATCCATTGCAATYGCTTTTTCTTGTCAAATTATAATTAGCTATGGATTTAGGCATGAAATTAAAATAGAAAACACACAGCACGTTAGAATAAAGTATACTTAAGCACTTTTACCAAAAGGTATTTACAAACTATTTATATAGTATATCTAATAACAAAAAGCATAAGTTTTGAGCCACTTGTATTCCATACTTCTTTTTCCCCATTTGTTTACTTTGAAGTACAATGATAGCATCATAGAATCATGGAATGGTCTGGGTTGGAAGGGACCTTAAAGATCACCTTCTTCCAATGCCCTGCCATGGGCARAGATGCCATTCAGCAGATGAAGTGGCTCGGGGTCCCATCCAGCCTGGCCCTGTGGTGTCTGTATCCCTGGTCCCAGACCAGTGTGGCCCCATCCAAGTGTGCAGACCTCACAGGTCTTACATGGCCATAGCAGTACTTCCCACTTCTCCAAAAGTTCCCCCTGCAGCAGGTCATGGGATTCAGCACTTATTGTCTCCAGGAAATCTAAGCCAATTCTCATGGGCTTTTTTCTTTTGCCCTGGTACAGCAGGTACCAAGTGTACCAAGCAGAAGGTCTTTGCTTTTAATTTTTTTTCCTGAACTTGTACATGCAGCTTTCTACAAGAAGAACCATTTAAAAATCTCCCCTGACCCATCCCTTWCTACCCATCTCCACATCCTTTCTACATCCTCAGTAACCTGATCCAGGAGAAATGTGACTTTTATTTCTCTGGTTGTGTGTTTACTCGAGGGTCACTGATTCTATTTCCATCCGATTATTCTGGGTCTGAAAGCTTATTGACAGGCAGCAGTGTCCAAGCCCTCTGATGCGAGTCCTCTGTTGTGCTTGCTCCACGCTGCTGGTGAAGGACCTGCATGGATCCTTCAGGGCTTTTTGTTAGCCTTAGCACACATTTAGGTGATCTGATGACTGTTTACAGCTGGTGCAGCCAAGGTGTGTGTCCAGGGTGCTCTCATCTGTTTGTAGACCTCCATGGAATTTTGAACGAGGAGTAAGAAGGATCCCAAAGAACTAGGGGTTCACTGAAGGCACTTCTCACTGCAGAGCTTGCCCTGCTCTTCTTGGACCGGACCTTACAAACCACTGCTCAAACAACACACCAGCCTCAGCTTTGMCAAAATGTAATTCTTGAGGGAGTTCTGCCAGAAATTTGTCTTCCATATTATTATTTCTCCTCTTATTTTTCTACTATGCATGGTGATATTTTGTCAGGAGACAGAGATGCCTTTGCATGAAGTATTATGCATACATTTCTTTAATAGTCCCTAAAGGTTGACTACSCTTTTCATACATTGCATTTTTCTGAGATTAAGAGAGCTATTAAATCTACAGAGAAAATGAAATTGGAAATGAAGGAGAGAAAAGAAAGAGCATTCATGTTCATAAATGTGAGAATCTGCATAATTTCCAATGATTCTATTTGCACATCCTTTGCATCCAATAGCTCTTCTTCTAAGGTAATTTTTTGCTGTGCCACAATTTAAATATTTCTCTTCTGTTAGCAGCCGATAAAGAAATTATAAAGAAGACAATTACCTATTCAAGAAAAAGGAGCTAAGTCCTAAGGAAAAGTCCTTTGATTGTGTAAACCCTCTATGCTGCGTAACCTAGAAGGCCTTGACATGCAATGTTATTTTAAAGTGGAGACTAATAAAAAAGTCAGATGCAATTAATTACATAACCATTGCTCTAGACCCCTGTGAGGTTCATCTTTTCAATATTAACTGAATTGTTCTTGCATCATTCCCAGATTTTTTATGTTCACTGTACTGCAGATTTTTCTGCTGATGACTCAGTACATGGTACTGCAAATGCAGTGCAGACTACCTGGACTCTGGCCAAACTTAAGCAAAAAAGACAATCAGAATAAATTGGAAAAAGAGGATAGAAATTTCCTGCAAAAGAGGATGAGAAGAGGAACCTGTGCCTCGATGTTCTGGTAAGGGTTGCTCTATCCCAATTCCCTAAGAGGCATCATAAGCTTCTGTCCATGGAAAGCTCCCAAAAGCTGAGTTTCAGATGCACAAATCATCCCAGTTCTGTGGGATTTTTAGGAAGGATGATTCCCACAGATGTGTGAACCAGTTTGAGCTGCTTCCATGCAAAATGGCTTTACTGTGCATGTGACAGAGCACTGTCACAGGTTGCTCAGAGAGGGTGTGGATTCTCCCTCACTGGAGATATTCAAGAACTGTCGGGACACGGTTGTGTGCTGTAGGCTCTGAGATGACCCTGCCTGAGCAGGGAGGTTGGACCAGGTGACCCCCTGTGGTCCCTTTCATCCTCACCAGTTCTCTGATTCTGTGATTCTGTGAATCTATGAGGCAGGGTTGTTTTTGGGAGGGGGCTCTATGTGCATTGTCTGAGCAGGCAGCAGTTGCCTTCAGTTTACTAACTGAATCATTATCAAATGTAACTATACTTATTCACTGAAACTTTTATTATTTCAACATAAAAAAATAAATTGCAGCTCTGATGCAAGTTGTGGTTTTTGTTTTTAATTTGCTTCCAAAYATAACCCATTAAAACTGAATTCAGAAAATTTTCAAATTATTATGCAGGTTTCTACAGATTTCATTACAGATATTACAAAGAAATTCACATTTTAATGATGACAAAACTATATTTACCATACTAACCCGCAAGTGTTCAAATCTGCTAGAGGAGAATGGACAGAGTTAACAGCAGCAGAATGTTATATAAAATTGCAAAAAGGAATAATTTTAAAGGGAAATTCAGCAGTCAAAGGCTAAGTCTTAGTGTCAGGACAGAGATTATGTTGTCAAAACATAATAGACTCAGCAATGCCTACTTTCAAGAAAAATAGGGTGGGCGATGCACTGAATATGGCAATGTTTTCATTATAACTACTCAGATGGACTGTGAGGATCATATTAACATGTGTAATTATAACCCTTTTTTGATAAAGTAATGATAAAGACCAGAGTACCATGGTAAAAGGGTAYGTGAAAGATAAATGTTATCATAGTAACAATTTTCTCACCTGTTAAACAGTTTAGAAGACATAGTAGGGAATGAAGAACATTGAAACTGATTTTTTTAATAAAGTTCTATCACTGGACAAGCATGATGGTGTCAAGTTAATTTAGTCAGGACATTTTCCAGCAATCTGTCCTATTCAAACCTGCTGACCAATACAACCAATCAACCACAGGTGGGTAATTTGCCAATGCAACATGAAGTGCTCACTTACAGTACCCACTTACTTTTTCTGAAGTGAGTATATAGTTTATGATTCTGATTGTGCATCGTATGTGGCCATACAATAGACTTTGCATTGCACCTGTGTGAAATCTGGGTGTCATGACAAATCAAGTGAGAGCTTTGCCATTAACGAGGATTTTGACTATAATCAGGGAGAAAAAAMGCAAATCCCCTTTTTATTGAAAGCTGTTCATAGGTGGTTCATTTATGACTTTTAATAAAACAACAACACTGGCCGTAAAAGAAGTGACATTAGTACAGTCACCTGTAAGTTTTCGACCTTTACTCCAAAGTAATTTCAGTGTTTCTGCCTGGCTTCCC